CACATATAAATTACAGGGAAAGCAATATAAATAGTAATCCTGACCTTCATTACTTAAAAAAAAAATCTCCTAAAGTTTATATTATAAATATTAGTTACAGCAAAATACGTTTTAATCTTTTAGAAATAAAAGATTAAAATAGGTTTTAACCTTTTGCTTGTAAAAAAAAAAAAATGTATTGCTGCTTTAATTATGGCAAAGGTAAGACCTTGGTATCTTCATTGAAAGTCCAACATGTTGTAATGTAGGCAAAAGTTGGGACTACACTGACCTTGAGTTTGGAGCAACATGCCTCACGTGTTTTTTTGGACTCTACACTCATGATGCTGTTGCTTGGTCAACTGGGAGGAGAATAAAGAGAAAAAAAAAACAAGGTTTCCAAAAGTCCTGCAAAGAGACAGCAATAATTGAATTCAACATTAGACTTATTTTCCTTAAAAAATTATATAAAGCAATTCTATAATGTTGTGTAACAAAAATGACAAAATTATTACATTATTTTCTCACACCGATAGCATTGGAGAATATCTTGAGACAATTTTTTGGTGTCAAGATGCAAACATTTATAAGATTTATATTTTTTCCTTGAGAGAGGCACATTGATAATACCTTATCTAGGGATCTAAATTTTTTTGTGTTTTATTGTTATAATAAAAAATGCATATCAGATGTACCAACAAAAATGTGTAAAATTATACTAAACAATCAGTTTGTTTAAAATGTTCTGGATTTTACTTTGAAAACACATTAGCAAGACACCCAAACTAATACAAAATCAGCAGATCCTAATCAAGAGATAGGGAAATAAAAATAAAGGCAAGTATTTTATGAGTATTTACCTTAAGTGGTGATGGCCCAGTGTGAAGGATCCCAGCAGATGGCTTGTTGTAGCTGGCAAGATTCCCCACTTAAAGCCCAAGTCTTATCTCAAAATTATAAAATCGCATGTAATCAGTAACTCATGTCAATAAAGAGCAATCCAGCCCTCATGCAAACTGACATGTGCCGCGCGGCTCAAACATAGTTGCGACTGCACGACTTGTTCAGCTAGGATGACTCTCCGAGCAGGAGGTGAAGGGTTCAGAGGTTCTCAGAGTACAAACACAAGCAGACAATCACAGTCGTGCACATCCTCCTCTGTGAAACATCACAGGCCTCCTAAGTAGCCATCCTTTTGAACACACAACAAACAGCAGCAGCATGAAGCTGGCCAAAGTTTATTGTGTATTTGCATGTTTGGAGATGAAGGTTGGGCGGCCAAGAATGGCTTAGAGATCAACATTTTTTAAATCACTGCGCTACATGTTCCTCTGGCATTTCTCATTGAAATATCAGAGTTTTCTACAGCCTTATTTATTTCCAAGTAAGAATCATCGAAGGAAGTGTTTTTAACTGACTGAACCTGAATGGTGGTAAGACATTGCTGAGGGAGCTTTATTGATACTTTTGGCAATTTTTGTTTTGTTTTACAGTGTCCTGTCTGGCGACGTGGCAATAAGAATAATTCTCTTGAAGCCAAACAGAGCCCAATAGCCCAACAGTGCACAAGTGCAAAGCTGTACAGAAACATCTGAGTAATATGAGGAGATGCTGTAAGGATTTACAGCTAATTTGGCGACTCTAGGTTGTCATAGCATTGTCAATAGGTGATTCTAAGGAACTTGCAAAATCAAATGTAAGGCCCAGGGGTATAAAGTAATCTTGCGCTGCTTGGCATAGAAATTGCTTTCCTCACGCCACCATGCACCCTATTTCTCTTTTGCTTCTTGCAATTCAAGTGATTTTTTTTAATGTTGAAGGTATTATGGAGGATTTTCTCAAATTTTTAAAAGACCCGCCCTCTCCAAGAAATGCAAGTATGAGTCAGTTTCTCCCCGTGCATGCTCTGTTTAAAAGTTGCTGTTCTCATAGCTCATACAAGCTTAGTGTGCCTGAACGTCCGCCTTAACTCCTAAATCCCTCAGTCACTATTAAAGGGAGACTATATAGTGGACTTTATTGCGAACTCATTTAAATGATGGTTTAGACAGATGGTCACTGCTTTTTGCATGGCATTAGTCACATAACTGTGCTGTGCCTGCGGCATCTTCATTATTAGTCACCGCTGTCAGGTAGCGACAGCCTATGGTGACAGTGGGCTGCTGTGACAGCAAATCCCATAATGCTTTCTGAGATATATCTGCCTCTTCTCAGACCTTTCTCTTCTTTTTGTTCGTTTTGTAGACACTTTTTCTCTTATGACCCTCAGCCGTTTTCAGAGAACCTTGGTGAGAAAGGTGAGCTTCAATGACTGTCTGAAACCACAGATATACGCCTGAAACTGTGCATGAGCAGAAAAAGATAGCTAACGGTACGAGCATGTAGGACGGCCTTAAGCAAACATATCACCAGAATGATTGACAATTAGAAGGACCACCTATTTAGATGATCCAGATTGTCCTCTAGAGCTTTAACTGAAGTTATTTTTGGATGCTTTTGGATTTTGATAATTCTGCTGTCATTTAAGGAGAGGTGAGGTAACACCTTCAACAGGTCATCAGTTCATTATAGGGCAACAGAGACACACAGGCCAACCGTTCACATGCATACTCCTTTCTCAGAACAATTTAGATGCACCGATTAACCTTACAGACTTTTTGTGGATTATTGCGGAAGATGAAATACAAAAAGAGACATGAAAAATTCTCCTGGCAGCTGTGGCTGAATTTCTGTATGGTGGTCTAGCTAACCATGACTTGGTTTCAACAGATCCCCCCTTTTTTAAACTACTTTAGATTTTTAACACTATTGTGTGGTATTCCTTATCCTTTGAATACCTTTTTATCCTTTTGCTATTTTCACATCAACCCACTTTCTGTTTAGTCTTTCATCTCTTGTTTTCTAGAGAAATATAGCAAAAATATTTTCACCCCATGATGACACATTAAAAAACTTTCTGTTTCTTTTTTCCCCCCACAAACTAATATAAGCCCACAGATAAGAGGTATGGAATGTCCCCTTTACAATCCATTAAATAATATTTAAGTTAAGACCATTAATATCTTAAACAACTTTTCCCTTAGCTCCCTTAATCGCGGAGTCATCATTCATGGCTTGGTATTAACCGAGTCAAAATCTTCCTGAATTGTGTTGCAAAGCTCTCAAACCGTTTTCTGCTCCTGAAATCCCACCAACTGTTTGTGAATATAGATGTCTTCCTTGGAGTTGAAGGCCAGAAGCGGTCAAAATGTCCTGGAGGGAGGAAAACACATCTGGCTTCCACAGGAAGCATGCTGTTGTGGTTCACTGGATATTAAAATGGATCTTGCAGCTCAGATTAGAGATGTCCTTTGGGGCTGTGAGCCACTACCTTGCATGTTTTATGTGTATCCTTGTTGCCATACACCTACCTTGTATGGCTGAATTAACAGATTTTCTAGCACTTGATGGCTGCTGAGGGGGCATGCAACTAGGAGACTTCTATAACATGCAGGGCAGTGGTCACTAAGTACCAGGATTGAGAACAATTGCAATAGGGATCTTGTAGAACCGTAAACTAACTGGCTCCACTCTCTTAATAGAAAGTGCTAGTGGCCTCTCACTTACGCATCATACTCCAGCTCAGCAATGAAGCCCCAAATATGCTCTGATTTGACCTCAGCCTTTGAACATCTAGTCAGAACCATTTGAAGAATTTCTTTTGTAAGCCAAACATAGACTGTTGACTACATTGTCACTACAGGGAGGTGATGTAACAGGGAAATCTTGGACAAGGAATTAAACTGACCAGGTATGGAAAGTTTGCATCAGCTGGGAAGAAAATGTCATGTAATTTTTTTATATCTAAGCAAGTTGAGGCACCTCATTCAATAAGCCTTCTTCCTCTGACACACTTGCAAAACTCTTAATCTACTTGTCTTGTGTTGAATGTGATCAATGAACAAGGAATAACTTGTATTCCCTTATTCAGAGTACACGGTAAAACACTTTATTTTGGAAGTAAGCTGTGATTAAAAGTATGTGGTCAAAGCCAAGCTTATTTGCTGTGTCATAGAAACTCTGATTTTCTGCAAAATTCTGTTTGTGCCTCCATAATGAGGCTTTGATGGATGAGGTCACTTCGAGCCCCCCTCCTCCCGTTGAGGACAGGCGGTTCATGGCTCTCTGCTAATGTCCAGTCCAGTCAGCGGCCCATCAATCAACACGTCATACCCCCAGCCCCTCCCTCCCTTGGGCCAGTGAACCAGTGGGCTGGCCTGTATGTCAATTTCGGGGGTGTGACAAAAGTACAGGGCAGAACAAAATAAGGAAACATCCCAGAGTTCACGCCAAACCGGGGCTTCGTTTGGATTTGCCCGTTTTATGGTGCAAGTTTAGAATAGTGAGATTTGCATAGAAAGGAGGTGACGATGGGGTTTGAACTTATCTGTACATTAATTTCACCCACTGAACTATTTTTATTCATCTAAAACAATGTAAACTCAATTTTACATTCTATGACCCCTTTAATCTGTAAAAACAACACACCTACAGTTAGTTGAGGGAAGTTTTTGCTCATGACCTTTTAACTGAAAAAGGCAATTATGTAATATAAAAAAAGTGTAAAGTACTATGCTTGCAAAGCTTTATACGCTCTTAAAAACATATATTACAGGTAATAAAACAGGAGCATGATTGATAATTTTTCATGAAAAAACATAGTTTTATCTTACAGTGCAGCTAAGATTCATATTTTTACAAGTGCAATCAAACTACAATCAAAACCTTAACCTACAAAAATAAAACTTAAAAAGTTTATTATGGAAAATATTTACAGTAATATTTCACATATTCCTGGGATTTTTACAATATTTTTCAACAGGAAGTTAAACATTCCTTCTGACCAAGTTATCAGGATGGTGTCTAAGCACATACATACTTAAACTTTATGCTAGTTTTAAACAGAGCTAGAAAAAAAGAAGTCAGCCTCACATTTTTGAATGCAGATCTTCAAGTTGGACAACACAACCTGTGTGCTAAAAGAAATCTGTGATTCAGCTGGTACAGTAGAGGAGAGGATCTTTAAACAGCATGTGCAAACCCATTCCCACCTTTTTCAATATTTCTTATGAGAGTAAGTTAGGCTTAGCTCTGCAATGCAGACATGGACTCTACATGTAATCTACAGAAAATGCAAACAACTATGTTATTCAAAAATGTCACACCTTTTAGAGGTTTTGCAGTCATATACAGATTTTAAAATCTGTATATGAGTGCAAAAATATATTATAAATATCACTTCACCTAAAATACAGTAGAGTTACCTCTGAATTTTGGGTTTGTGGACCTGATCCTATAAAATTCTTAAGGTTTTCAATTGTATTGTCTTAAATTACTTTGCATCCACTTCAACCTTTGAAGAGGAGTACATTTTCAATGTGTTCAATCAACCTTGCAACTGCAAAGTCAGAGTTAAACTTGGTGATTACCTTTCCCTTCTGTGGACACTTACATCATAGACCTTCACTACAGCCACTATTGCAACCATACATATAAAAAACACAAGCGGTATTTTGCTCATATACAATAAAAATCTGAAATATCATCTTATAAACTCTAAACATCAGTATATGAAAAACTGACTTAATGCTACATCCATGTTACAGAACTAAAAAGTAGGACATAACCACATTGATTAAGTAGCAGCCATCTTGAGTGTGTTGCAATGATTTGTTGACCTTGAATTCCAAATTTTGAGGACATCCCAACTGAAATGTTCCACTAGGTGGGTGGAATTTCGAAATAATTTCATTATAAATGCAGTTAAAGTTAAAAAAGTGAAAAAAGCCAAAGAAGGCTACTGCCACCCAATCATTCAGCGCTACCCTGTACCATTACCACTAATGGTTACATTGCCATTCAAAAGGGTTCATTTTCATTATACAATTGCCTGTAACATGTTAAATAGTGCTTTCATTGTTTGTCTCTTCTCTGTGTTTAACAATGTTGATGTGAGCATGTCCATTACTTAGTCTTTTACCCTCCGCTCCATTCTCTTTGGCCTGATCTCTCAGTGCTAGCTTCTTCTGTTTTTTAACTATTTTGACGTAGAGGACTCCCCATAACATATTGGCTAGAATGGAGAGTCCAATAACCAATCCTAAGAAGGTCAATCTGAAAGATAAAATATGTTGGAAAAATAAAGTTAAATACTTTTGTCAGTTTAACATGGAGATGTTTGGGATACTAATAGCAAAACTGAAGTATGATTATACTCTACCTAAACATGTTGGCATTATAAAGTCTACATGCTCCACGTCCTCCACATTGCTTGGTTCCCCACTTCAGGCATGCCTGATCAATTAGTGCTCCAAAATAAATTGGGGGAGGGATCCCACCTGGTAGCAAAAGGTTACTTTAGTTAAAACTCTGAGAAGAAGAAACACAACAACAATAATTAGTGATCTAGCTTTGCAATTGCATTTCTCTACTCACCTAGAGTCCTTACGATTAATGTCTGCATACCCAAGGCCAAGGATTTTAGATCTGGTTGAATTGACCTAAATCAAAGTTAAATGGTAAATCAGAAAAATAAAAAGAAATAACTTTTTTTTACAGGTATAAGAAATGTTATAACAAACAGGTATAACAAATTCTTCATTGGCATCCTGTTAAATCCAAAATAGAATTTAAAATCCTCCTTCTCACATATAAAGTCTTAAATGGCCACGCCCCATCTTATATCAGAGATATAATTGTTCCTTATGTCCTTAACAGAGCACTTCGCTCTCAATCTGCAGTTTAACTAGTGGTTCCTAGAATTTCTAAAAGTAGAATAGTAGGCAGATCTTTTAGTTATCAGGCTCCTCTCCTGTGGAACCGACTACCAGTTTTAGTCCATGAGGCAGACACCCTGTCTACTTTTAAGGATAGGCTTAAAACTTTCCTTTTTGATAATGCTTATAGTTAGAGTGGCTCAGGTTATCCTGAGCTATGCTGCCATAGACTTAGACTGCTGGAGGACACAGGGATCCCTTTTTCATCAATCTGCTTCATTCTTCCACTCTGCAGGATCTGTTAGTTAAATCACTAACGTTATGCTCTCTCAGCCTTTTCTCATAGTAGTTTTGCCTCATCCATTCCTGTTTGGCTGTGACACCACTCTGCTTGGCTGTGTGTTTCCTGGACGGGGCTGCCTTTTACAGTTGCCTTTTGTATCTCCGCTTCTTACTGTATGTCTGTTTCTGTCTCTATGAAACCTGCTGGAGGTATCTTCCAGTTAAAAGGGAGTTTTTCCTCTCCACTGTCGCTATAAGCATGCTTAGTGTGAGGGATTGCCTTTGAGTCAATGAGTCGATGCAATCAACTGGTTTTCCTTACATAGAAAACTTTGATTATGGTCTAGTGAAATGTAAAGTGCCTTGAGATGACATGTATTGTGAATTGGTGCTATATATATATAAACTGAATTGAATTGAAATTAAATGTGACAATTAAGCCTTGTTTTCATAGCAAGACAGGATTAAAATAGCTTTAATAGTTATAAATAGGAAAGCCTAAAATTAATCCCTGCTAGAAGTCTGTTTGTACAATATGTCTGCCATAAGTGGATCTTACCTCAGCAATACAATATATCCTGGTGTTCCCCCGCAGGCAGAAATAAATGCTCCCAACACAGACAAAGCCATGTAGATTTTAAATTTACTGTCACATTCACTCCTTCTGTGACACTGGCCAAGAACAGCAGACATGTTTGCAGCAGGAGTCACAGAAATCCCAATGCAGGTACAATTGTGAAACACCTAAAGGTAACAAAATCATTATTATTTAGGTTGCAAAAAATGGAAACTGCTGTATGTGCTACTGATGCACAATATTAAAATATGTAATGTATTTTAAAATCAGTCTCAAATTTATCTTTAAAGGAGGGACTATTTTTTCCCCTGTTTGAACAGTTTTCGTTACATATTTAAAGACAAAGAGAAAATTAGGTAAGATTACCCAAATTAAAAACCTAGTAATAATGATTCAGACATTGCTTTTATTTCATTAATCTAAGATCAAATCAATGTTATTTCAAAAGTATAGTGGAGGATGTTCTTTTTCCTGGGTGGATCATCTAAATAATTGGCCTTCCAAATTGTCAATCATTCTGGAGATATGTTTATGTAAGAACCTATGTGCTAGTCCTCTGTTAGTTGTCTTTTTCTGCGCATGCGCACCTTTATGTGCTGGGCTACGGTTTCAGTAAGTCATTGTATGAGAGAAAAAGTCTACGAAGTGAATGAGAAGAAGAGAAAGGTCTCAGAAGAGAGAAACAAGACCAGACTGTTTTTTTGGGAGATTACCAACTTCGAAGAAAACAGCTTTTACCCTAAAGAGGCCCTTCAGGCCGAAACTGCTCTTTATTGCATTAGTCATGTACCAATAAAGGCTTTTTGATAACTTTTTCCTGAGTTCCTCAGACTTACTGTATCTATATTTTCCACTAGGATGCCTTACTGAAGAGCACCAGAGGAACATCATTTCACTCCCTAAAAGCACCAGGCTCAGTTTCTTTTGTCCTCCAGGCTAATTTAAAATTATAGAAAAGGCCATTTTGTATTAACCTTGCACTGCAAGCTTTCAGTCTTAGAACGAAGGCACCTTGAAAGACTACCAGTAATAGGTCCATCTCTAAACAACCAGCGGGTTTGACCAATGACATGACATTAACCAATGACATGTTTTTGGGGCGGGGAATGCAGGAATGACGACAGTCACAAGCGTCTTGCTGGGGCATTGAAAACATGGCTACGCTGGAAGACTCACCTGTCGATACCGCAGTTGACTTGGTTTTCATTAAAATAGTAAGAACTTGTCGTATAAAAAAGTAGCAAAGAGAACCACTTTGTGCTTTTCTAGATGGGAATGATGTCTGATGTCTGCTTTCTGCCCACACGATTTGTCCTTGCAATGTTTTTTCATCACAGGGTTTACGATGTTCAAAAATCAACTTTGTGTTGCTGAAAAAGCCTTTTATGTGCAGGTTTGCTGTGCAGTTTCTAAAAACATTGTTGCATGATGACATGATGACTTCAATGTCAAAATTGGTCTACATTACAGTAAACATGTCCCACCTGTCATTCCCGGCGCATGTCTGAAACGTTATGATTCGCTGTTACGATTGGCTGAAAGCATATTATGTAAGGGCGGGTACTAGCTGGTACATCACCCAATCAACTTGAAGTTTTGTACTAAACGTCCCTGTTTTTCATGGACAGACTGAACGGCAGCCATCTCAGAATGATAACCTAAAACTCAACTCTGTTCTACACATATCAAACTGGCTACTGCCAGGTTCATTTTTTATTTCATGTAAAGAATCCAAAGAACCCGAACCTAGTGCTAATTTCTGTAAAGAATAAAAAAGGAATAAAAAAACTGACCATTGCTTTTCCTGTTCCAGTGGAGGTCTGACATCCAGCCAGGCAGGGTGAAGCATATGTCATGCCATTATAGGCACACACTGGATCCCAGTGCTTCACTGAGCAGGAGCAGCCAGTATTGCATGGTGCCAACAAACTTGAGGGATTGTTGGATACTTGAGTAACACTGGTGCAAAAAATACAGGCAACATATTTGTGAGAATATCTATGTATAAAAAATACAGCCAAAAACATTAATTATAAAATCGACGTTTGGTTGTGTGTGTAGGTGTGCACAACTCACCCTTCATATGCAACAGTCAAACCAGCCACATCTGCATTGCCACAATGAAAGAATCCCTGCAGGGAAAGCATACAAAAGGATCCAAGAGATGCAGCGATGGAGACTCTGGCAGCTCCAACAACACCCAATTTGAAACGCTTCAAGACAAAACCACCAGTAATGAATCCCAGAGCGACTGCGGGGAGGTTCATAATGCCTGGGTGGGAGATAGATAAAGAGACAGTTCTTTTATTCTGCAAAGCACTGGTCAAAGCACTGTTGTTTCTAAACATCTATGAAATAAAGCAACTCTAATTAGCATTTTTTTTTTATAGTTTTTTTTGTAATTTTAAAGTGTTCACTTTTATAAAAAGCAATGAAATGCTAAATATAGCTACTGCCCTTGAAAAACACACAAAGGGAAATCTGACATACTTGAGTCAGCATTATCACATAATCAGAGTTCCCCTTAACAACATTGTTTCAAATGGAGCAACATAGGTTGGCAGGATGTACCTATAATAAAATTAGCTCTGGATGCCGCCTGTCCATAGATCTGCTCCATGAACTTTGGTATGAAGGTGATCATACCAACAAAGGCATTGACTGCAACCAGGTTGGTGAGGATTATCATTGAGAAGATGGTGTTCCTGAAGAGTCTTTTCAGTGATGGAATAAAATCTGGGAAACAACAAACCATTGAGGCAATTACTCTTGTATGAAAATTTACACCCTTATTTATCTCACTTTCCATATTCTAATGACCAAATTCAAAAACGAAGTTACCTTTAACCATTTCTTTAAATGTGACTCTCTTTTCTTTGTCTTCTGCATTTTGGTTTTCATCTGGCAGGAAATTCTCCTGCTCTGGCCAAGAGGTTAACTCTGTACTTTTGTTGCTGCTATCTTCCTCTCCTTGTTTGGGCAAAGACTTAGGCAGGAAAAAGAACGGGATGCTTGCCAGCAGAATCAGTGCGCCATTGGCAATGAAGCCAAGCCACCAGGCTCCCACCCAGCGAGAATCCTTGTAGGTTATGGTGATGCTGTCTAGGTAAAAAGCCAAAAAAATATTGTTTTGTTACAACAAAAACCTTGATGTTATTAATTTAGGTATGCTTAATTTAATCTAGAAAGTTGAAATTGTTAAAATTTTAATTTAAGAAATTTAAATAGCCTCTGCAATCTCAGTTCTTACTTGGAGATTGCCCTCAACCTTACAATCCAATATGGCTGCAACGCACAGACAACAGAAAAGTGAATACACTTTTCTGACATTTAGATTTAAGTTGTTATAGCTACGACCTTTTGTTTACCATATTTCTCCTGTAACACTCATTGTATTGTAGGTAGATAGTGACTTTCCTTGAATGAACTTTTGGTCTAAATGGAGCACAGCATTAATGTAATTGATATCTGCTGTTTTCAGCATTTTAGCAATACCAAGGGTCAAGCTGTGTTACTATATAGGAAGAATTAATATGGTCAAAACACGTAAGGAACAGTTCTTGCTGTGTCAACGGCCTCTCTTAACTTTTGCAGCATGACTAAGCGTTTCTAAATCATAAATGTTTAAGTCACAAAGGTTAACTATTTTGTTGAAGTGCTGTTTAAAGAGAGAGAGAGAGAGAGAGAGAGAGAGAGAGAGAGAGAGAGAGAGACCATATTTCTCACAAGCTTACTGAAGGTCTAGTCCTTTCATAGCTTATCAGCCGTACTCTTATCTGTTGCCGTTTCACTCACAACACACAGTAGAAGATAACCTTTGTTTATCCAAGCTACTCAGTATAATTGGATTTCCAGAGTTACAAGTATCTTTTAATGATCCTTTTTTGATTTTGACCATTGTTATTATTACAGTAATAGGTTTCATACCTAAATCAACAAATCCAATGTCCACGTAGGTCTTGGCAAGGTAGGACCCCAGCATGAACCCAGCCATAGGACCTAACATTCCTGTTGTATAGATACAGGCTAGAACAAAAGAGGAAGAAAGGTGAACAGAAGTAAGCAGTATAATATATTACAAACTTGAATATTTCAAAAAATTAAACCTACTGTAATGCCTATGGTTTACATTAGGGTGTGACTCAGATTTTTTTTATTTTTCCATTTTATAACATTCCTCATCTTTCTTGCTATCTTTGGGAATCTTGGTATTTTGTAAGCCCTGTGAGAATATGCCAGCTTGCTAAATGTTTGGCACAAATGGGGCTCGAGTTAGCATTTATTTTAAAACGCCCTATTGGCAGTAAAGGTTTATTCAGCTTTTTAAAGCTATCTAAACTGTGTTTGATAACCTCTAGGTAAAAATCATTATGGGAGTTTTTACGGCACTAGTGGCTCGTTTTTATGGACAGTAGGCTTACAGGAAAAGGGGTATGAGAGAGGGGGAGAGACATGCGGAAAAGGACCACAGGCCAGATTTGAACCTGTGTCGCCCGAGTCGAGGACTAATGGGCTGGTTATACTCTCGCAGCAGTGTGTCGCAGTGAGCTTGTCGCAGGTATGACGTAGACATTTTTGTTTATGCTTAATTTGTGCTATGTTTATTCCATGCCACAACACAAAAGGGGAAAATCACGAACTAGTTGTGGGTCTAGATATGGCCAAGGTAGTGAAGAAGTGGGGGCAAGTTTGTCCAACAACAGATGGACATAAGGGCGAAATAGAGTGGGGATCCAGGTGGAAAAGGGACCCAGAGTTCTCGTGCACCTTGCTCTTCTAGCTCGTCCAACTTCACAAGTCATTTTCTGCAATCGCGGTCATACAAACAAAACAAGCCGGTAAGGTACCAAACAGGAGATATGCATAGTGTAGAGCGGATGCAGATTTGACCAATCAGAGGCCTCCTGTCTGCGGTACTGCCTGCAGTGACATACAATTTCAGAAAAGGTGCAGCAGAGTGTGTGCGGAGAGGGCAGGGACGTCTCTGCATTGACCATGACACCTATGCAGATGACCTAGTTTCGAAGTATAAATCAGCCTAAAGGCCTCCATACGTGGGTCGTATGTGCTATCCACTGCACCCCCAAAGCACTTCTCAAATATTTTAATGCATCCATTCAACAACTCAAAGGTATAAAATGATTGACTTTATACCATGCCTCTGCAGGCCTGAATAAAATGCAGATTAAGGGAATGAGGTAATTTGATTAGGACTTGGGCATCCTTACTGTATGTCTAATGCCAATTTTGACCATAGCATGAATCAGGATCAGGGTCTGGTATCTTGGATATCACTTCAGAGTTGAAGAGTAAACATACAAAACAGTCCTAAACCTAATAATTGTAGTCTTAACAAGGATTCTTAGGAAGAAAATCTACTATTAAACTTTAGATTTGTTTGAAACTTTCAACCTGTTTGTGAAAACTCAAAGAGAGCATTTTGTAATGCATGAGAACAGGGGTCTCCACTTGACATCCTCACTGGTCATTATGCTATGTTTAGATGCATTTGTTTTCTAACACATATAAAGATTTTTTGAGCTCTTGTTTATCATCCAATCTCATTAGCTGGATGTAAGGTTATATCTCTAATTATGACACAAAAGGTTTGTCTAAGATGGTTTGACCAAACATGAGCAGAACATATCTAGAGTGCAAAGACAAGCAAGCAAAATGCAAATAATGAAGATAAAACAAACCCAAATAGAAGGGAGTATTCTCTTGTCTAGAAAAGTCATCCAGATAGGATATCCCCAATGGCATGGAGGGAGTCTCTCCAATTCCACGGAGCATGTTTCCCAGGAAAACATAGATCCACATGGACGAGCCAGCTGCCTTTTCACAAGCTGAGAGAAAGGAATCTGTCTTTAAACCTAATGCAGTACTGTCTGTGTAGATATAGGATCATTTCTAAAAAGGAACCTCTATAAACAATAATAGCTACCCTTAGTGGCTGCTACATCAGGGGTCTCATCCTTCTCTGTCAGGCTGTGGTTGGACAAACATGGTAAGAGGTTTTCACTGCCGTTCACTTGGGTGTTGTGGGACATACTTGTCTCATATTTATACCTAGAAGAAAAAGGTTTAATATCAGGGATTTGGTTTAAATCTCTCATTTTATGACTTACATTTTTGTTCATTTTGCAAATAAAAAAGATTGGAAAGAAAAGGAAAACCCTGTAAAGAATGTTTAAAGGACAGTCTATAACCAAAGCCTTTGATTGTAGTAGGAGATTGCAGTGCCTTGGAAATTTGTTCTCTCCCGCTCCCTTTTATTTACTTTACAGTTTCAAATTCCATTGTATTTTAAAACGATACATTTTTACATGTACAAATAAAATGGTATGGTATTTGCATTTCTTTTTTTTTCAATCTTCCAAACAGGTCAAGTTTCTTGGGATGGGAGACCTGTGCTTTCTGGGGCTTCTCCTAAGTTAAAAAAGGAGCTATCCCTGATGTGTTTGTTGTCCTTTAAGATGGTGTTTGTTCTACTAATGTACCATCACACTTCTGAGGCCATAAAATAACAGCTAGAGTTACACAGAATTTAAATTTTACACAGATGACTGATGTTTTTAGGTGACTTCTAAATATAACTACTGTAGGGGCATCAGAGCAATGGGAGCTTAATACATAGACATTCCCCATGTTCCTGTGTTTTATTTGCAAATAACTTATATACTATGTATTATCCCCAATCACCGTGCTATTGTTGGGTCTATACACATTAACTACCCCTAAATATATTGACGTTTATAATGAACAAAGCCTATATGTGTTTTTACATCTAATACATTTGTTTTCAGGGAACAAAAAGGAGTAGAAGTTTGATAGTTATAAATATCTTTCAAAGCCACATTGGTTTCAGTCATATATAGACTGCAAAAACGATCTAAAAATTTGTAAACATTTCTTAAAATAAAAGTATTTACCCTTCATTTGAAAAGGCAAATAAGATGATATATAAATAGAATGAGTATTTTTACCCTTAAAGAAGTTAAAACAATAGACTGCAGTGGTCTTTTTCTTTTTTTAAAGGTCTTTTGTCATATTCCATCACAATATTGGGTCCATTTCAAGAAGCAGGTTTATTGAAAACTAAGTTTTCTAAACCTGAAATCAGGGAAATGAGTTTTCTGACTTTAAAACTTAGTTTTAAAAACAAACATTGCATTTTCCTTTTACTGGGATCTTATTTTAAAGAATGAGAATTACATATTGTAGTTGACAGGATATGAGATTTATTTATTTTTGGTTAATAAGATTGACATGGGGATATATATATATTTTTTTATAGTATATGAAGAGCTCCTGAAATTATTTTCAGATTACACATTAAAAGATTAATTCCACTGGGGAAAAGGGATTTACCTTAGGCTTAGGATTAGGATTTACTCTATGATAGCAACCGACTGATTCTACTAGCATAATCTGAAGGCATTCAATAGGACTGATAACCGCTAATAACGTTAATTTATTGAGATGATAATAGCCGTATTTACAGTGTGATTAAAGACAGAATCAAACTGAGGAGTAACAACATGAGATGATGCACAGGTCCTTTCTATGAGAGCAACATTTTTAGACTTGTTGCCAGGTGATTATATCTAAATAGATATATTTATCCTCTACTATTCAAGAAATAAACCTGTAATATTATTATGATTACAACAAACTTGCCTTTTGAAATGAAAAATTCTTCACATCTAGAATAACCATTCTGGATGTCTAGAAATTAATTTCACAAGTCCGTATTACTGTTGTTACTGGTCAGCTTCTGGATTATTTTGACTATGAGGAAATGTATTTCAGATATTATAAAAAAATATTCAGTCAAGCTGATAAATGTTTAAACGGTCACTTAAAATGTGTAAACATTTCTAGGTATATAAAACTTAATTCTTACTAATATAATTTTTTTTTACTTTCTGAAATTCAGTTTCTGCTGCAAAAATGTAATGTTGAAAATATATTATTACAGTTTAGTCTAGGCTCATTTTAGTAATCTTCAAATGGAAGAACAGAGAGGAGACTGCTTTTAATAAATGTAAAAATGGCTTGCCATAGTCCACTTCATATAAACGTATGCATTAACTCGAAAAACAGTCTTCTTCTTCGCCATCTTCCTCTACTTTATAGCTGCAGAGCTGTTTCTTTATAGCTACAAAGTCTTTTAAAGACATTCTACTTTTTTATTTTTAAAATCTCTAGTTCCAGTGGGCGAAATAGGAACTCCCTGGTGACTTGTCGAATCGGGGCTCCACTTATAATGGCTTTTCAAACTTGTTACGCATGTGCTCAACTCTAAATGGACCTACAGTACTTAAAGTGATTGAACTAATTCATAGCAGCCATTGCACAACCGGAAACTCAGAATTTCCGTCATAAGGCTAGATTAATTTAGAGTTGCGTATTTGAATCTGAATTTGTTAAACCTGCTTTGTGAAACGAGCCCAGTGTCTCTCCAGTTCAGTTGAAGAAAAAAAAAAAAACTGACAGATTTTCTATTAAATATAACACAACACAAGCCAGAGAGATGAAAAAATATGAAAGAGAAAAACAAAAGATTACAGAACTGTATACTAACGGTCCCTGTAAGAAGTGTGGTAGTGCTACAATAAAGGATCCAGTGGCCATGATCAAACACCCGATACCGATCAGCCTGGGCCGATGCAGCTTTGCACCAAAGTAGCTCACAAAGGCGATTACCAACAAGTTTCCTGTGAAGGGAAAATGTTAAACATCATTAAAGGAATATTAAATTCAATGTGTCAAAGCATATATTTTTAATTAAAACAGTAAAAATTGCACAAACCCATTTCAAAGCTGCCATCTATGACCCCAATCAGAGAGCTGGGGATGTCAAAGCGTCTCTCAATCTGAGTGATGGAGCTCTTCATGTAGCCTCCACCAAAAGCCTTGGAAAAATACATAAAGGCCAGGGAGACCAGGAAGAGCTGCAAGAACATACCCAACATGTTAATATAATATCATTTCAATTCTTGAAGATTTGTTCCAATGTTTTTCCTTAACAAGATGTCAAATATCTGTTTTTGTCTCTTTATTGATAAGATTAACACTAAACACCAACAGGGTTCTGCACTTTGTTTAGGTTTCTTTTTAAGTTTTTAGTTTCACTGAAATTTGTGCCTTTGTATTCGTTTTCTGGCAGTGCTGTGTTTTTGTGTTACTCTTTCTTGCCCCCTTGTGCCAGTCTCCTTTCTCCCTGGCTCCTTTCTAGCTGCTTCTGTCCACACCTGCTCCCAATTAACTGATTACTCCACTCTTGGTTCTGTCTCCTGTATCTAATCAACCTCTGCAGTTCATCGCTGCTGGTTTCTCTTCATTACACTCTTCAGGTGTGTTTTTCCCTAGTGTCTTGGTTTTTTTCGATTTCCTGTTTATTGTTTTTGGATTTATGCTTCTTTTACCATTTGTTCATTCATTAAATCAACAAAACTCATCTCTGCATTTGGGTCAGAACCAACCTCCACCCAACCTGACAAAAACCGTAACCCACAAAGGTCCTAATGAAAGAGTACCAACCAAGTTGCTCTACAAGTTGTTCAGTTTTGAATTGCACTTTTAAGCACTTGCATGGCCAGATTGCAAAATATGCCAAAATCTTCTCCTTTCCTCACCATCAAAAGGAGTGCCAATTTTTTGCAACTGTTGACTTTTGTAAATCAGAAGGCAGAATCCGGGACTGCAATACAATGTAATTCATACATCATTTCTACAAATCAGGTTAGGCTTTATCGGATATGGAGGTTTTTTAAATAAATATGCCCAAAAATTATGGCTGTAACATCAACCACAAAAACAAACTAAAAAGACATAGAATTTTAATAATTTCATTTCTAAAATATAAACCTCCTTAAAAATTATTAAATTATTTCAAAGCATCTGGAGGCCTCATTAGTACAGGTAGCAGAATTTTGAAAAGTTCTTGTCTTGGAATGTTTACAGCAAATATTAAAAATGTTAATTAAAATATATGAATATAATGAATGTCAATTATGTATATTAAACATTTTAATTGAATGATAAAACTGGCTTAATTTCATTTGTTAATGTATTTTCCGGTTGTTTTTAATCTCTATCTATGGTGAAGCTTATAAGTTACAAATTTCTTTCTCCATTATTGTTTATGTCTGATAAGTTATGCATGTTTTAAGCACACATAAAACTGCTCTTTAATAAATACATAAATCTTTTTTTTTAAATGCCAAAAAGTTAGAACAGCCATTATAAAGCTTTACTTTAACCACCAAGATTTTGTGGAGATTCACAGAGATATTATGCATAGATCTCTGCTGTATTGTTTATTATGAGATGTGATAAATAGTAGGAGATATTTCAGCTTAAAAATTACCCATGAGTTGCAGCATTTAATTTATTTTCTTTGGGATTAATAAAGTATTTTTGAATCTTAAGTTGAATTGAACATTTATCATATAAAAAATAAATAGAGCAACCCCTATCTTCTTCCACTTTAGATATCTACTTTTACTGTAAAGGAATATGGACAACCATGAGCACCCGGATCAGAAGACAGTTAAAATACAACAGACATCTACAGTCAGAGGCTTTTCCAGAAGCAGTGAAAGACTGACAGCAAAACCTTATGAGTTACAACAATTAATTTCCTTTGGAATCAATAACGTATTTTTTAATATACTTTATAGATTAATTAAACTCAGACAGACTCAGAGCAGTCTATAAACAATAATAACCCTAATGTAATTTCAAAGCAAACACTAACTAAATTACTAACCTTGAGCTTGGAGCAACATCCCTCGCATGTTTTTTTAGACTCTACACTCATGATGCCAATATGGACTCAGATTGTGAGGAAAGAAAAAATAAATACCACCAACAAACCCTGTGAAGAAACAACAAACTTTAGAATGTAAGATTTTAAAGCAAATTATAATTGTTTTCTTCTAAAAACAGATTTAAAGACGTTTCATGGTTTATTATGTTTTTCATCTAGCCAATAATACTATAAAAACGTTGAAATTTGGAAGATTCAATTGAAGAAATTCTGGTGCATTTATCTTGTTTCTTTTAACATAAATAAAATATTATCATAAAGTAAAAAAAAAAAGAAATAGATTTTCAGGTCCTCCTAGCTGATTTAAGATTATTTACATGCACAATTGTTATACATATGAAATGGCATTAGTGTTAAAGCGTAATAATAAACACATCAGTGGGAAAAAAAGAGAAGAAAACAGTCAACAGGCTTTTACCTACCTCTGGATCAACGATGTGACAGCCCAGTGTGAATGATCCGAGCTATTACAGTGCTGCAAGTGGGACTTTGAGCTTTAAGTCTTATCACTAAATTATATCACATGTAATCAGTAACTCAGGCACATGTGTTGATCATGTCAAGAAAAAGTCATCCAGCCCTAATGAAAACCAAGATGCGCCCCAAAAAAGAAAAAAAGCGGTGACTCCAATTTTTCAGTTAGGAGAACTGTCAGACTTCAGAGGTCCTCCGGGTCCAAGCGCACGAGGCGCGCACACCTTCCTCTGTGAAACATCACAGGCCTCCACAGCAGCCATCCTCTTTGGAGACACAACAAACAGCAGCAGCATGAAGCTGGCTGGTTTATTGTAATACCAGCTCACTGTTTCTGTTAGTTTGCCTGTTTCAAAGAAGGGAAATCCTTTCCTCTTCAGGAAAAATATCAGCTCTTGCAAAAGAGGGTGTTTCCATCCAAAGCCTGATCAAAGTCTTCCTGAACCATTGATGACCGTGAACAATAGCTTTCTCTCGAATGGCCCCGGTACATCCCATCACTTTATCACTTTAGTTTTACAGTATTCACAGGAGGCTCGTTTACTTACAGCTCACAATATGTAGCGTGTCCGTTTCTAAAAGAGGTTTTAATGTAAGGACTTCCTAAATGCATCTTTTTGTGGGAACAGGCTGTTGTCTACAACATTCCACCGTGACTGTTATGCAGTTTAGATTAAAAAACAAACAAATTAGCAGTTCTGTTAAATCATTTTTGCCTTTATAAATGTTCTGGGTTTTTTTTTGTCAGCCTTTGATTTTTGGTTTTGGCATCTTTAAGCTTACCTAATGTTAGATAGGTATTTATACATATTGTTGTGTTTTACAACGCATGCCTGTGTATGGCCAGTGAAACTTAGGGAGGGTTACTATGTTGTTCTCATAAGGAGGCTGTTTTATTTTCCTCCTTAATAAAGGAAATAATCCTTTGATCTTTTAAGAAAAAAAAAAAAAAAAAAACAAATCAAACATGGAAACCAAAAATAAATATCAGGTAATTATGAACAAAAAATTATAGTTAAAATAGATAAATGTACAATAAATATACAGAGTATATTTAAAATATACAATATATGAATTGATTATACGCATAACAAACTTACTTATTATATTCTAGAAAAAGACCAGATCCATTTTTGTTGCTGTTAAGTCCCGTAATATGGAACTAAAATAAATCGGAAAACTAACTTTGTACATTTATTTAGCATGCTACCTGTTTTCATCAGGTTGTATCAATACCCGATATCGATACCAGTACCGGACGAGGCCCCGATCCAGCACTAAGTGGTGGTATCTGTAATGTGAGTACCAACAAATAGGGCACCGATACCATTTTGAGAGCCAAAAGTTGTTTCAGCTATTGTCACCCATTCCAGGTAGGCAAAAAAAAGTTTTACTGGATTCACTTTGTATTAGTCTTTTTCCTGCTTCACAGAAGTAGGCAGCAGCTTGACAAAGCCATGATGGCAATTATTTTACGTCAAAGTAGTATGCAGTTCTTCATATATACACACACACATCAATTTCAAACAGATGGTATCGGTATGGTCTCGGTATCGACCAATACTGCACAGCCAGGTATCAGGTATCGTATCAGGGCCAAAGATGGCAACAATAGTTGTATCACAGCTGGATCTGTGAGCATATATTTTTCTTAGCCCTTGCTCCTCTATTTTGCTTCCTTCTGTCCATCTAAGCCCTTACAATGCTGGTTGTCCATGTCTTAGAACACAGATTTTAGTCTCAGAGACACTTATTTTAGTTTTTAAATGAGTGAAAAACTTAGCACCAAACTGCTGGCTCAAGTAGTCTATGAACCTAGAAACAAAAAGCTGAAATCCTCAATCAAGATGTTTAAAAACCTGTTTATTTAGGGTCGCCTTAATTAATCTTTTCATTATTTATTGTAATAACTTCATCACATTAAATATTCATTTTTTTAATAACCTTATTACTTTAAATACTCTGTTTATCATTTGATCTTATGATGCCACTGCAATGTAGTTTTCTCTGTGTTTTCCTGTTATTTTTTGCTCTTATAAAACAGTTTCAATTCAATTCAATTCAGTTTATTTATATAGCGCCAAATTCACAACACATGTCATCTCAAGGCACTTTACAGTTCAACCAGATCATACAGTCAAATTGATTCAAAGTTTTCTATCTAAGGAAAACCAGTTGATTGCATTGACTCATCGACTCAAATACAATCCCTCACACTAAGCATGCTTGTAGCGACAGTGGAGAGGAAAAACTCCCTTTTAAAAGGAAGAAACGTCCAGCAGAATCAGGCTCAGTGTGAGCTGCCATCTGCCGAGGCCGACTGGGGTTCAAGGAGACAGAAGCGAGATACAAAAATCAGCTGCAAAAGGTGGCCCCGTCTAGGAAACACACAGCCAGGCCAATGAGCACCGAGCCAGCTCCCATGACAGAGGACGAAGAGAGCACATCCAGCCAGTCACGGTCAGGGAAAAAGGACTACACTGGAAAATTTGAATAGTCCCTTCACTTAAATTGGTTAGATGAATAAGTTTCCCTCACCTGGACTAAATTCACACATGCACATGTGCAATATTTGGAAGCGACTATTGGAATAAGTAACTTTTCTCAGGCATTGCTATCAAACACCAGACGGGAGAAATATTATGCTTTTGGAACACTACAGCTGTTTTGGAGATTTAAGCCTGAGTGCTTTATTTGTCACAGTTTTAACCTTTTTCCTCAGCATTCTGAGTGGAGTAGGAGCATATTTATGTAAGAGGCAAACTTTTGAAGCAATTTCTAGACATTTGACGATCATTACTGACATGCCATTTGCTCTTTTTAACCATGATGATTAAATACAAACTCAAAAACACTTTGATGAACTTTACTAATGCAAAAAAGGTAAAGAATTATGGAGGACGCTCTAACTGCTGCAACTATAACCTTATCGGTTGCCTTCTTCTGGCCTGGTAAAGACAAGTTGTATTTTTTCGGCGGTTACATGAGTTGTGCAATATACAGTATATACTCACAACTCAACGTCCAGCTATGATTACGTGAAAAGCTATCTAACCATAAGAGCACTGGTGTAAGTACAGGAGTAAATAGTGCAGTCTATTATTTTAAATCCTGCTTTACTTAAACGATGCTGAAACAAGTTCTGGAGAATCTTAAGAATCAGTGTTCCCAATCTGTTCTATAACTAAAGGTGCTTAACATAGTGATATTTGAACATTGAAGTGATGACAGACAAAAGCATGAGTCTAGAAAACATGGACCCCCAAACACTTTTTCCTTTTATTGTTGTATTTATTAAACAAATGCATTACATTTTGCATATAGTTTTTTTGTATTTGTTGAAATAGAAGGTTTAAAAAACACCCTTAAATGGGCCATTTTGAATACGTTGAACACTTCAATGCAGGAAAACACAATAAATGATTCTTTCTCTTGTGATTTAAAGATTATTTAGTAATTTCTTGATAAAAAGATTCTTTTCAGTAACAAACATTTCCACCATTGATCAGTTAAATTGGAGTATAATAGAATCAAAGTTGAAGGTGCAAATACATTGATTGTGGTTGCTCCTCAGAGTGCACCACAAGCTCTACATTCACAGCTAGTCACATGCTTGTAGGTATATCTCCTGGTAGTGAGATCAGAGCATTCCACCTCCAGCTCTCTGAACTCTGAGCTCTGCGCCTGGCAGCAGCTGTAGTCCTGCTCCACATGCAGGTATTCGCCTAAAGATATCCTGTTGAAGAGGAAAACATCCATGCAGAGACAAAAGGAATGGTGGTAAATATTAACATTCTGTGTGCTGGTTTTGAATAGATGATCTGGGCTCCTCCTTACCAGGGCTTTGACGGGCAGTGGCCCTCACACAGAGGTACTTCGATGACAGTGGAGCACTCATTAATAGTGACGTTCATTTTGGACAGCTTGGGTGCACAGGTCTGGTTACCTATAAAAAGCCAGAGAAGAAAGTTTTAATTTCTATTTATAATACAAACAAGTTACTACCAATGGGGCAATTTTAGATATTGTATTGTTACTTGACTTACAGGTGAAGCAGCAGCTTTGGTTCTTCCTTTTACCCTGGAGAGCCAGTTAACAACAAGTCGTGATTAGATTAAATGATTACTGGATTAACTCATCCTTTAAATTAGCTATAAAAGGGACCCCCATTTTATTAGATAAAGGACTGAGTGACCTGCATTTATAATGCTCAACAGGGTCAGAGCAGACTGTTCTTGCTGAGGACACTGAGGTCTTTTAGAAGGCAGGTTGAATTCGTAAAGACCTTCTATGACTCTGTTGTGGGATGAACCAATCTTTATGGAGCTCTCTGTTAGAGCAGTGGCTTATTTGTCGCTTAGATAAAGCGGCTGGATAAGCTGATCAGGAAAGCCAGCTCTGTGATTGGATGTCCTATGGATTTAGTGCAGGAGGTAGGAAACAAAAGAACCCTAACTAAAATTAAATCACTGCTGGATAATGTTTCCCACCCCAGACTGCTGCACTTTAAATGCACCAGGGAGCGTTATCACAGATCCTTCTTCCCAGCAGCTGTAAGACTTTATAACTATCACTGTTCCCAACAGCCTCAACAAGTTGTCACATTGATGCTGGTTTTTGCACAGTTTCTGCCTTAGCCAGTTAAAAAAAACATATCTGGTGTTGCTGCTATTTTTTTTCATATATCCATTACTGAAAAATGTTAGAGCAGCAAAAATATTATAGCAAAAGTTGTCACACACATGTGGACCTTAAAAAAGTTTATAAAAATAACAGAATATGTGGCAGAGTTAAGAAAATAAACAAATAAACAAATGTACTGTAGATTGTTTTTGCAATATAAATACTGTGCATTTGGAAAGAAAAAATAATCAGTATACAGCTGTGGACATATCCATCACTGAAAAATGTCTACAGCTGTATACTGATTATTTATTCTTATAATAATTGTTTTGCTGCTGTAACACCACAATTTCCCCATTGTGGGTCAATGAAGGGATTTTCTATTCTATTCTATTCTAATCTAATCTATTCTATTCTTTTGTATGAAAACTAACACTTAACACTTAGATAAAAAAAGTCAATCTCTAGATATGGACATTCTAAAGAGAAATTACAGCATTTTACGGAAATACACGGACTCAGAAGGCCTTAATATAAATATATGCCTGTTTTTTTTCTGATTTGTATGTCTAAGAAAACACGAATTACAGTGCATTTATTGATAATCATATTCCATTAAGCACTGAGTTTAATGGTCTACTAGATAAACTTTTTCAACAAGTCCTTATGCACATAAATACAGACCAGTATTAGAGGGCTAGTCTCCTGCAACACTTAAAAGCCTTTTAGCTTCAACACTTCTGTGTCCAATAAGGGTTCTGCATAGCTGGACTGGTAGGGAGGTAGTTTATCATTTGATTCAGGTTTGTAGGTCAAGGGGCTTATCAGAACATTGCAGGTCAACACCCCTGGATTTGAGTTTGGACTAGCACTTTACTGTCTTAGACTATTGCAACAGCATTCTTAAACAAAGTAAAATAGAGGGTGAACTCTGTAGAGACACTAAGCTGTGGTACCTCAGGACAAATCTCTGTTGGACAGACAGATTCACTCTGGATCCCCTCCTCAGTGCAGACAAAGGACAAGCAGGGATCATTGGGGTCTTTCCATGTGTCTCCCAACTAGGCAGATAAAAAGAGGAATACAAATATAGATGAAAATAGAGGGACAGATTTTAAGGATTTATTAATATAAAACAACTTACCCTGTATGTGGTTCCATGATAGCTGCAGGTCTTCTCAACTGTAAAATACAGCAACAGTTTACTAATTAAAGCAAGTTATTGCAAAAGGTATTATTGGGAGCTGGTCTTTTTTTCTCATTGACACTACTCTAAAGTTTTACAACATTTATTAACATAAAATCAAAGCAAATATTCTCTAAAAAAGAACTTTTACTGTGTCAAACAGGAAACCAGTAGGGCAGCAGCCCCCTCTTGTGGTGGCTCAGGGGGATAACTTAGCTTTTAGCTGTATTGTTATTGATAATTAGGGGAATAAAATCTAATTTATTAATTCTAATATCTAAATGCACAGCTAGTCTCTGCAGAAACAAAGAAAAGTAAAAGCTTTAAGTTCCACAAGTCAATTTCCTATAAATTAGGAAACTTTACTCTTCCTTTTAATTCATGCTTGCAATCTGATAATTATTTTGGCATGAAAGTGTTGTAAGGAGAGAGTTTAACAGATTTTTTAATAGAAAAAACACACAAGATTGCATCTTTAAAAAGGAGCTTGGTAAGTAACATAAAATATTTTTCTAAATCATACATGCAAAAATGTATTTTTGTGTTTAAATATAAAAAACAGAGAGAAATACATTGTTTATCTTTTCTGATTAATGAAGTATTTTTATTAAATTAAATTGAATTTGTACTGAATAACTTGCAATCAGAGCACTAATTCAACTTTTTATTGATGTGCTCAAATACAACAGGGACCTTGCGTAAAGCCACATTCCTAATGAATTGAATAAAAGACATTATTATTGCCATGACCTATTCCATCCTGATTTAAAGTAAGAAATTCTTGACAGCGCTGTAAATATTTAGGAAATACACATCTAATCTTGAACTACAGCCCTCTGGTTTCTTTGCACACTTTTTAAGGTTAATTGTGAGTTCTTACCACAAATCGGATCACCACAACAAGTGGTGTTCACCAAGGTTTCATTTGGGGAACAGACTGGCGGTGGTAAAACAGGTTTTGGAACACACTCCTCAGCGAAGGTCTGATTACTACATATACACAGGTGGCAATCAGACTCCCAAACCTCTCCAGGCTGGAAAACAAAAACATTCATATGTTAGATGGTAGTTTTAGGTAATTAGATGTTAAAAAAAAAATCTGCTAGAAATCCTTTTGATGCTTGCTTTGACAAAGCAACTTGTACAATCACTGAAGAAGAAAAACTTACAAACTTAGGCTCCCCGAGTGGTCCTTTACAATCTGAGTTTAAAGAAGAAACATTGTAATTTCTGGAAGAAGACTGAAACAAAATTTGAAATACCGAAGTATAAAAAGTTGTACTTACAAGGACATTGATTCACACAAACATTTGAGTGGCTTCCTGCCCTGATAAGTCCTGGAGGGCAGAAACATCCGGAGCTGGTCTGAACCAGACTGGGCCCTGAGTTAACGACTCTAAATAAAAGAGAAATATCTTGATAAATCGTTGATAAACATTGAGAAAGAGCAAAGACAATAAGTATCAATCATGTCAATGTTTTTCACTGTATAGTGATTCACAGTTGGGGATTTAAGGGGGCATTAAATTAACACCATGTATCCAAGGCAACATAAATTATTTACACAACTAAAGTAATCAAAACAAATTTGTGGGTAAATTATGAGTGGAATAACATAATAACATAAAACTGTCTGTAATTGAAAAGCACACTCGGTTCCTATCAGTGCAAAGTTATATATTAGATTATCGGCCAATTAAAGTGTATCAAGATTCATTTTCATGGTGTCAAACAACAAACAGTCCTTGATAATCGACCCAACCACGCTCCACTGCTCATCAACACCTCAGCTGTGAGGTGGTCAGCAGCACACAATTCCTGGGGGTGCACATCACAGACAACCTCACTGGGACTGTAAACACCACCTCACTGGTCAAAGGGGCAAAAAAATCGCATGTACTTCCTGCGGACAATGAGGAGAGCCCACCTGCCCTCACCCATCCTCACCACCTTCTACAGAAGCACCATAGAGAGCATTCTGACCAGCTGTGTGTGGTGTGGAGGCTGGAAGAAGGTGAGGAGAGTGGTGAGAACAGCAGAGAAGATCATCTGGGCCCCTCTTCCCTCCATTAAAGACATTACATCCCAGCGCTGCATGTCCCGAGCCAGTTACATAATCAATGACCCCTCACACCCCTACCATGGACTGTTCTCCCTGCTGCCCTCTGGAAAGAGGCTTCACAGCATCCTATTCAGGTCCAGCAGATTCTGAAATATCTTTTTCCCCACAAAACTCTAAATGATGTCACAGACCCTGCATCAAACTGACCATATCAATAGGTTTTTTGCAACATGTTTTTTCTCCCACACTGTTTACATTTGATCACTGCTCCGCTTTAAGAAATGGAAATGTCATGAGAGCTGTGCAAAACGAAATTTTGTTTTGTAAATTACAATCAAAGTTGTAAAAGTCTAAGTGATAGGTTTAGGTTTCCTTCCTCCTATTGGACTTTGTAGGTGCAAAACATCATGATCAGGGTATTTCCTCTGAATGTTCTGTTAAGTACTGTTGTAATCATAATTTGAGAAAAATAACATTTTACCATTTAATGTTTTTTTTTCTTTACAACTTTCTGAAAAGTCAATTAAAAAGAATATTGAGAAGTTTTAAGATTCAAAAGTCCAGATTCTACAGGTAGGCAATGTTCCCAAGTATAAAGTCTGAGAAAGTAAATTGGATTTACACAGAAAACAAAACTGCTTGAATAGCCGAGTTCATCAACCAACTTCAGCTTGAGAGTTTTGTAGACTGTGCAGAATAATAATTCATAATCCCAACAGAGTGATGCAATAAAGTATTTCTCTATATAACAGATGCTTTGAAGTTATCATTGTCATACAATTTCACTTATACTTCATTTAATTTAAAGGCTACAATACTTTGCTTCTCTCTCTTTCTGGGTTACTTGTGCTGTTATGGAGCTGATGACAAACATTTCCACTGAGAAAAATGTGTTAAATACTTCTTTTATTTCCGGCTGTATTTTTGATGAGTGGTAAACAGACATTTATTAAAAAAAATGTCCAAACCCTCCAAAGCAGAAGTCATCTTTTTTATCTTGGCATTCCTTATAAATCAATCCCTTGGGACATTCCGCATCTGAAACACAACAAAGGGGAGTGACCTTAAATCAAGCATTAATTAGAAATTAGTTCATTCATTTCTTTTAGAGGCTTTGCTCTACATAGGAGAAAGAGGTATAAAGTGCTTACCACAACTTCCATTAGTCAGTTCTCTCCAGTCAACACAGAAACCAGCATGTATACATTCCTTTGCTGCTTGTTCCAAAGAAGAGCAGGAAGCATTTAGAGTTGTGCACGAATCAAATTCACAACTCTTCTTTATGATAGTCATATTGACATATTTGCTGCAGTTAGTAAACACCCTGCAAAAAGACAAATATTTGCTTTTAAAGTAAACAGATGATGATGTCACACTTTTCTAAAGGAACAGATTTTGTGTGTAGCATGAAGCGTACGGGTGGTCAAGCAGTTGGCATAATGAGTTTGGTACACAGGTAGGTGGGGGTCCAGTGGGTTCCGGGGGATCATCGGTGACACACGGTACATCGACCGGTGCGGAAAAACACTCCGGCTTCAAAGGGTCATAGTATAGCCAGTCATAGGATGTTTTATCACAGCAGGTGTTGTCCTCAATCTGGCCTCCTCTACGGATGCATGATGCACCACCACACACACCTTTAGAGGGGAAGGAAGTGGAAAGATACAGCTTGCTTCAAATGAGTGTTTTTATCAAAAAAAAAAAAAAATACACAGTCAATTTTGTTGTGTTAAAGTAAAACTTTAAGAGGTAAATTTAACACCAATACAAGTGCATTTGGTCCCACTCTAATTAGTGTTAAATTGACTTTCTACATAGTGTACATCTTACTCCGGTTGTTTTAATGATGAGTCAATTTACTTTGACTCTGAATATTTAGCCCTGTGGAATTTACTGTGTAGTCTCCAGAGACAAAATATATGTTTTAGATGATATATATTGGATTCAAAATTAGTATTACTATATTGATTTATTACTAAATTGCCCCTCCTTGAACCACTGCCTTAATGTGGTGGAGGGGTTTCAATACCAAAATGATCACAGACATTATGCTGTTGCGGGCTTAGATGCCCCTTAGTAGGGTACCCAAAGGCAAACAGACTCTGGGTGACAGGTCAGTCAAGAAGTAGTTCAATATAATAAACTTATGATGACAAATAAATTGAAGCACATGACTTTGTCAAGTAGGAGAATGAGGTCCCCCAAATCTGAGGCCTTTGTTCTCGACTGGAAAATGGTGGCTGTGTTAACTGCAACACACACAGATGACCTGGTTTCTGAGCATAAACCAGGCTTAAGCCCCCAGAGTTAAATTGACATCTTCCGGTTTAACTTGTACCTTTTTCGACAAAAGACTACAGATTCCATATTTCACAACAAAAACAGAAAAGTTATTTCAAAAGACTAGAGAAAAAGCTAAACCTAGTAGCTATCAAGCATGGAGTGGTTGCATCATGCTATGGACCATCTGTCTATGAAGTTACTCTTTTAGACAGATACCAAGATGAGATACTGCACATCACTATGGTATGCAAATTAAAAGTGCAGCTGAAGCATGATACATTAGCCCAGGAAACACTGTTGAAAAGGGAGTTAACAGTCATTTGTAATTATGAATCATCACTTCTTGTTTATATCTTACCACATTGTCCTTGGGTGTTGTTGACAAAGTGCTCCATGGCCAGGTTGACCACTAGCGTGAAAGACGGGGAGAGAGAGACAAAGGATCGGATCTCAGGAAGGACGATTGACACTTTGTAGTTTGTGGTTTCAAACATCATCCCCTGCGCCTTAAAGGGTGGCTTAACGATCTTGTTATTCAGAGTGGCCTGAAAAAGACACATCAAAGTCAAGCCATCTGACTTGATGCAATATTTCTTAACTAGTTTGCAAACTTTTATACTTAAAATAAGAGAAAGTAGTTTATCTGCTTTTATTTTAAGAAGCAGTATAAAATTATAAAACACAGAAATTGATACACTAATACAAAAAAAAAATACCTTGATACCAACAGGATGCGTGGTGATAGTAAGTTTAGCTGTGTTGTTCTGATACTTCACAATAACAGCTTTAACACAGGAGCCTGGGAGTGATGGTGCACAGTAGAAATTGTCCACCACAATGGCCAGGTGATGCTGTGGGGATTGCTCTTCCACGAGGGTGTAGGTGCAGTCTTTCAGGAAATCAAAAGTTACTCCACTGAAAGAGATGTAGTGTGGGTCTCCGTAGAGCTCACAGCGACCTGGAAGAGGTCAGATGAGGAGTTAATTTTCTGCAGTATGCAAAATACAGTAATTAATTTGGAAACAAATATATTGTAACTGTGATTAATGAACACTTACAGTCACACTGCCACGTTTCACAGCATCCATCAGAGATCTTTATTAATTGACCCCTGGGACATTCAGGAATAACAAGCTCCGGACAAACCACAGGGGTCAGCTCTATTTTTTGATTTACACAGGTCTTGATGAAACAGTCCTCTGTCCAAGTTTCACCACAAGCCCATTCTTTTTTCAGCTTCAGGTCTTTGCAGACGCAGTCTTTTTCTGTGGATGACACAAGCAGAAAAATTACACAATATTTAATTACAAAGTTGCTTTGTCAAATTTTAGGGACAATTGCAAAACACTCACGGCTATCTGTAGAGGGCTCTGTTGTCGTCAACGGTAATTTAGTTATTATATTAGCTGTTGTGGTTTGCTCTGTGGAAATGGTAGAACCCTTTGCTGTGCTTAAAGAGATTGTAGTTTCAGGAATAGAAACACTGGTACCTAGAGTTGAGGTTGAAGTAGTTGTAGAATTAGTAGTCCCCTGTGTTGAAGTAAAAGAAGTTGTGATTGCAGGTGTGGAAACAGTATCTGCCAGCGTTGAGGTTAAAGTAGTTGTAGATGGTGGTGTAGAAACTGTAGTTCCCAGCGTTGAGGTTGAAGAAGTTGTAGATGGTGGTGTAGAAACTGTAGTTCCCAGCGTTGAGGTTGAAGAACTTGTACATGGTGGTGTAGAAACTGTAGTTCCCAGCGTTGAGGTTGAAGAACTTGTAGATGGTGGTGTAGAAACTGTAGTTCCCAGCGTTGAGGTT